ATGAATACGGTAGAGTCATATTAGATTTTGCTTCATCATTTGATTTTATTATTGTTAATATTATATTTAAGAGAAGAAATGAGCATATTATTATTTATAAGAATGGATCTAATAAAACGGACATTGGTTATTCCTTAAGAGAAAAAGAGATCGTCGAGACTGTAAAGATTGTAAGGTCATTTCAAGTGAGAATTCAAGTACTCAACATCGTTTTTAATTCTAAATTTTAAGATGAGTTGTAAGAAAAAAATATTAGGAATCATTGTCATAAAATTCGATGGGAGCACCTAAAAGACACAAATAAAATTATTTTTTATGAATAAACTTCAATATTTCAAGATTTGGGATGTTCATGAAAAAAAAATTCTATTAGGAATGAAATACCAAACACTACTAAACAAGTGGCAAAAGATATACTTGGAGAATCAAAAGAAAAAATTTATATATAGATAAAAATAATTGGTGGTGAAATAATAATGTGAAAGAAAAAATAAAATATAAGAAGTGTTATAAAAATTGGTAACTTCTTATAAAAATTGGTTTACGTGTAAAGATTTAGAGAAATGAGAAAAATATAAAGTGGCCCGCAAGAAATCTAAGAGAACAATTTGTGATGCAAAAAAATCTGCTTTTAGAAATCGTTATAATAGATTAGATACTTAAAAAGATGAAAAATAAATTGTATAAACTAACCAAACAAAGAGATAAGAAAATTAAAGATTTAACTCAAATAAAGTATATTAAAAATGAAAACAAAAATTTATTTTCTTAGAAAAAAAATATTCAACATTTGTATGCTCTTTTGATAAACTTTTCAATAAAATTTCTAAAAATACAATCAACTTTAGTGATCTTAATCTCGTTAATAATAATAATATATTTTATTTTTACCATTGCATTAGTAAAAAAGAAGTTGATGAGGTTTTAAAGAAATCTAAGGGTAAAGAATCAGTAGGATTTGATGATATCTTAATTAAAGTGTGGAAATATTTAAAATCTTTAGAAGTTTCTTGGCTTACTAAACTCTTTAATATTATTTTGAAAACTAGAAGGATGTCTAAGGAGTGGAGGAAGAGTACTTTGTCCCTCATTCTTAAACAATAAAGGAGATAAACAAGTGTATGCAAATTATAGAGGATTTAAGTTGATGTGCCATATTTTAAAATGATGGGAGAGGGTAATTGAACATAGATTAAGACGTGTTACAAATTCTCATAATTAGTTCGGACTTATGTCAGGCATGTCTATTATAGAAGCTATACATTTATTGAGAGGTTTGATGGAGAACTACAGAAAGAATAAGGCTGATGTACTTACGATTTTTATTGATTTAGAAAAAGCTTACGATAAGATTCCAAGAGAAATCCTTAGGAGAGTGATAGGAAGAAATTTATTGATATGACTTATAATCAAGTCATTAAAGATATGTATACTAGAGTTGTGAATTGTATTCGAATAAAAGAAGCATTGAACAATTATTTTCCAATTTCAGTTGGATTGCAACAGGGATCGACTTTAAGCCTATATCATTTTGCTTTAGTTATGGATGTTGTTACTGGAGATTTATAGGAGGATGTACCTTGGTATATGCTTTTTGTTAATGACATCCTTCTTGTGGATAAGACTATAGAAAGTGTTCAGGAAAAACTTGGATTATGGGGGTCTACATTGGAGTTTGAAGGCCTTCGTTTGAGTAGAACTAAAACTAAATACATGGAATGTAATGTTAGTAGTGGTAGCTCTGGTGGCACAGTTGTAACTAAGGGTGATCAATCATTAAAAAATGTGAACGCTTTAGATATCTCAGCTCTATTATTCAAAGTGATGGTGATATAGACGGGAATGTTATTAGTAGAATTCAAGTTGGATGGTTGAAGTGGACGAATGCTTTGGGCTAATTGTGTGGTATAAAAGTACCGTTTAGACTGAAAGGGAAATTTTATAAAATGGTGGGACCTGCAATGCTCTATGGTGTAGACTGTTGGCCTTTAAAAAAGAAGAAAAAAATATTAAGTGTTGCTAGGATAAGTTTGCTTAGGGGATGATTGGTCTGGCACTTAGAGACAAAACGTGAAATGAATATATCTGTGATAGGGTTGGAGTAGTTCTAGTGGCGGACAGATTTAGAGAGAGTAGTCTTAAATGGTTTAGTCATATTAAACGTCGACCATCTGATGATCTAGTTAGGAGAGTAGATGTTTTAGATTAACTGAAGAATAATCTATCATTATGAGAAGACAGATGATCTTAATGAATTAAATGAAAATATGACACTCAAATGAATATGATGAAGAAATATGAATTATGTTGCTGACCCCACTTAGTGGGATAAAGGTTGTTGTTGTTGTTATTATTGAAAATTAGATGAGAAAGCTCTAACATGAGGGTATTTTTATCACAAAATCGAGAGGAGCTTTGAATCAAGGATCTTGCATGGCATTTCTAATGAAGTAGGTTGTTGTGAGGATAGCATCTCCCCAAAAAATTTTTGAGCATTGTAAGAAAGCATTATAGACCAAGATACCTCGAAGAGATATATATTCTTTCTCCATCTATCCTATTTTGTTGTGGAGTTTCAATATAGGAACTCGAATGAATGATACCGTTCTTTGCAATAAAGGGTTCAAGTATAATATTGAAGGTTCCTTTGCATTATCAATTTTGAGTATCTGAATTTTGCATTGGAACTGAGTGAAAATCATGTTATGAAATAACTAATAGATTTGTGCAGCTTCAGATTTTTTCTTCATGAGAAATATCCAACTAGTTATAGTGTGATCATCAATAAAGGAAACAAACCATCTAGCTCCATTGATGATTTTCAATTTTGGTGGTCATCAAATGTTACTGTGGATGACAGGATATATGTGAGGGTTTGTGCTATGATAGAAGATAGGCATGAAGAGCATGTTTAGCCAATTTATAGGATTCACAATGAAAAAACTTTGGCTTTTATTAATAAAGAAGTCAGGGTACAACTTTGCAACATAATAAAAATTGGGATAACCCAAATGATGATGCCATAATAAAACTTGACTTTCAATAGAACTAGATATAGCAGACTCAGGAATATGAGAAGTGGATAATGGAAAAAGACACTTGGGCGTTAAGAGAATAGATTCTTTTAGTAGGTATAGATATTGATGCATTTTAGCACTATGGATCAACATCCCTGAATCCAAAACAACCTGAGATTCACAAGTGTTGGAATAGAATTTAGAAACAGTTAAGTCATGCATAAGCTTGATAATTGACAGTAAGTTGTAATTTAATTGTGGAACATATAGCACAAAAGAAAGATGAATATCTTTGAAAACTTTCATTTCTCCTTTCCCAAAAATCATGAAGTGAGATCCATCAACAAGTCTAATAATTTGGGGTCCGTGAACTCTTGTTGTTAGACCACTCAATTGTGCTCAAAAGAAGATTCTTCAGTTAAAAAGCTAGAGTCGGCCGACCCTTTAGAAGAGATAGCAGCATGGGCCTTATTGTTTTGGTATTTCGTGCTCAGGTTTCTATTATGGAGGTTTTCCATGTAGTTTTTAGCACTCATCCTTTGTGTGACCAAGTTACTTGCAGTGTTCACACAAGGGACAAATAACCTCCGAAGTAGAACTCAAGACATCATATTATACTAGGTCATAAACCCTATGTGTATTGAGAGATTTACCTTCTTACAGGGAGGAAGTTGCTCCCTATTGTTGTAGGAAAAAAGCTCTAGCGAGTAGTTGTTATAGAATAAGGTTTCACTAGAAGAGTAAAACTATTTGTCACTGACACAGAATTTTCACTAAAGAGGAAAACTTCTAACACAGGATTTACACTGGACAGACAAACTATCAGTCACCGACAAAGGATTTCCACTAGAGAGTGGTTGTTATAGAAGAGGAGTAAGCCGCTGCTGCTACGGTAGAAGAGAAAGTTCTGGCGGCTCCTGAGAGATCTGGTGGCTGCTGCTACTGCTGTGGCAAGAGAGAGGTCCGGTGGCAGCAAAGTGAACAACGAAGGGCCTGCAGCAGAGATTTCTAACTATAGGGAAGAGCCGGGGAGGATCTCGCAGGCCTGCTGCAGGGATTCTGGCGATTGCTGGAAGTTCTTACAACTGGAATGAGTTCCTGCAGATCTTGCTTGTTGCAGAAAGCGGGGAGTTGGCTTCTGCAGAAGATTCGTCATTAGACAATTTTAATCATGTATTCACAAGTGAAAGCACACATGAAAAAAATTAAATCAGAAGGCTGCCTAGACATTTATGGGTGTTGCATTTTTATAAATTTAAGGTTATAGATAATCAAAATCCAACAAGAAGTGACGGAGGCAGGCTATCAATAAGGGTTAAATCATGGTGAAAACAAAAAGGAGAAAAGAGGAATCCCTGGAATCTAAACAGCTCTCTGAAACACTTGTGTAGGAATCACACGCCTCATGAACGACCAAATTTCTTAAGGCATCAAAGTTAAGCTTCTATAGTTTTATGCATCAAAACCAACCATCAAATGACAGTGGACTATCTATAATGTTAATCTTACATCAAATAAAACACTATCCTTGAGAAATTTTCTGATTTAAAGAACTCAAATGAACACAAATATCATAAATAACATTGTGAAGCGATGTAAAGAAATATGACAAACAAACCTATTAAGCCAAAGAACTTATAAGATTCAAAGATAGATGGACAGCTAACACAAGAGGGGTGGGTTACAGGGTACTAATAGATGAAGGCTGATGCAAGTTAAACCACATGTGCTTGTGAACTGTAGCATCACCTTAAATAAATTGAATGGAATGCCCAATTTTAATCTTTAAAAACAAAATAAAGTTTCAATAAACTTAAATTCTACCACGAATTCTAAAAAGAAAGACTGTTCAAAGCTTAAGATGCCGCTTGCTCTTCCAAAACAAAAGAAAGGCAAGATGAACCCCAAACAGACAGCTATGATGTAGATGATACTACAGGAAGAATAGCAGAATTATTTGCATACAGGGGTTTAAAACCATACCTTCATCAAGATGAACAGTATATGTACCCAGGGGCATGTCTCTGTCAAGGCTACGAACTACCTCATCTTCATCTTCCAGCCAGAATGCCCTCCTTGTCCTCAATCCAAAAGCAGCCTTAATAGCCTCTTTTATTGACTCACTAGTGCCATCAATGCCTATCTTTCGGCTGTATTCCCCAAATTTAACTAAAATAACTCTTCCAACATACGATGAATGATTATCCTCACCTAAATAAGAATATAAAACACCATACAGGTCAAACAGAAGAAAGAACATAAGGAGAGCTTCCACGCACTAATACATTAATATTGGCCACAAAATAAGATGGAGAAGACTATAAATGTAAAATACCCTAATCTTGTAGCAAAGACAGTGCACCTAAATAAAGCACTATTCCAGCATAAAGGAAATGAATAACATTTCACATTTAAGCAGCCCCACGAGCTTTAAATAATGATAAAATTATTATAAAACCGGGAAAAAAAACAATAAGGAAATACTGGCAGTAGTTTTTGCAAAATAAAAATCTCATCCAAAAATTGGCATAACTGAACTTGAAATCATTGCATTACCATTTGCGGAGTTATCTTTCCAGTTCCATGGAGGAATACCATTAGGTGTAACAGTATCTACTGCTGTAATGGCAAGAGAATCTCTCTCATGATCCAAATGCCTATCTTGATGGAGAACCGACCTACCAGTAGCTGATTAAAGAAAGCAAGTCAACAAACTAAAATAGAACTGGGAAATATATGTCCATAATATAAGCCGGGCATTAACAATTTTTTGATGGAGATGGGTTATGTAATAATAAGAAGGGCAACACAAATTTTCAGATGAAGAATGCTAAGCATTCCAGAGAATTCAAGAGCACAGGATACAGTTGAATTCTTCAGAGGTGCTTCAACTGGAACAAATCAACAGAAAAAAAAAAAAAAAAAAAAGGTTTTAAGTGTTGCCAGCACCTTATCTTTTTTTATGATTCACTATAAATAGCATCTCTTCCATAAAAACTAGATGCACAGAGTCACGTCAATAATAATGTGGCAATAATAAGCGGACATAAGTGAACAGGGCACCTGTGATACTCGTAGGTTTTGGGAAGGGAAAAATATTACTCTTCAATTTCATAACAAGACAATTACAAGATAGATAGAAAGGGAAAGGCTCCCATATTAGAAAACTAACAAAATCAGTCATAACTCCACATGATAAATGAATGAAACATAAATAAGACACACCAAAAATTCTAATTCTCGAAATTAAAAAAAAATTAATAATAGAATATACTAAAAATAAAATCTTCCTAAAAATCCAACACTACCGTCAATTTGGAGCAAAGATATCTATCATGCCCAACTTGCTTAAAAGAAGCTCAAAATTAGGCCCGACCAGTCCTTTGGTGAAGATATTCATTATTTGTTTAGCAATAGGGATAAATTACATGCAAATAGCTCCATAATCAATCTTCTCATTTATGAAGGGCCTGTCAATCTCCATATACTTTGTGCGATCATGTTGCACTGGATTTTTTGCAATGTTTATGGTTGCTTTATTGTCATAGTATAACTTCAATGGCATCCTTATCGGGACCTGCAGCTCTTCAAGAATTCTTTTCAGCCATAAAATCTCACATACTCCATTAGCCATAGCCCTATTTTTTGCCTCAATACTACTCCTTGCAACTACATTATATTTCTTACAACGCTTCGTAACCAAGTTTCCTCACACATAGGCGCAATATCTAGAAGTTAATCTATTATCAATAATTGAGTCTGTCCAATCTGTATCAGTGTACGCTATGCTCATTTAGGTGGTCCCTAAAAGAGTAAGTCTTTTCCTGGTGTGTTTTAAGATATATGAGGATTCTATTGGCTGCTTTAAGGTGTTTCTCATAGAATGAATGCAAAAATTGGGTTACCAAACTCACAGCAAAGACAATATATGACCGTGTATGTGATAAGTATATCAACCTCCTCACCAATTTTTGATACCTAATTGTATTCACTAGATCACCTTCCTTCCCATCTCCAGTTTCTGATTGGGATCAATTGGAGTGTCTACAGGGCTACACCCACTCATATAATTTCGTTGAGAAGTACTTTTGTTGGGAGAAAATAATTTATTTCTTCGATCAACCAACCTCCATGCCAAGGAAATACCTCAGAGATCCTAACTTCTTGGTTTCAAAAACAAATGATAGAGAATCTTCAAAAAAATCATCTCATATGCATCATTTCCGGTAAGAGTAATATTATCCCCATCTTCAATTAGTATGGCTATCTTCCCATCATTTGACTGTCTGAAGAACATTGTATGATCTCCATGTTTTTTAATATACCCGACCTTTAACAAATAGTGTAAATTTCTCGATCCATACTCTTGGTAACTGCTTCGGCCCGTATAAAGATTTTTTTTTAGTTCACACTTTTGTGTCAAACTTCTCAGTACATTCATAAAAACTTCTTCCTCAAATCCTTATTGACAAAGGCAATCTTTATATCCAACTAGTGTAAAGGTAACAGCCAAGATTAGCTGCAAGTGACAAAAGAAAACTTAGATGATACAATTTTGTGATTGGAGTGCATGTCCCAAAATAATCAATTTCATATGTCTGAGTAATCCATGGCAGCCAATCGAGCCTTCTACTGTTCTAGAAAACCATCTGAATTATACTTAACTATAAACACCTATTTACACCCGACAGTAGTCTTTCCTTTAGGTAGATCAACCAATTCCCACATACCATTTTTTTCATTAGTTTTTTTCTCCTCGAAAAATAGTCTACTTTCAGAACATACTACATAGTACTAAGAATCTCCATATGTGATAATTATGAGATAAAAGCACAGAAAATGGGTGAGAGATTTTTATATGACACATAATGGGACAATGGATGTTAGGATCAAGACCTTTCCCCAATGGGAATGTTGGACTTATTAGACTCAGATTTCGAACTAGGCTCAGATTCGGGGCTAGAAGACTCGAGACTCAAAGTTGAAGTGGATTGAACATGAGGTAAATGATTAGTGATGACATTAATGCAAAGGATTCATAGACCATTTCTTTTGGTTTGTCCTATGCCACAAGTAGACAATATCAAATGGTACCACGGTCGTATTTTTTCCTATTTCATCTTTGTGATGAACATCATGAGATGACATTATACGAACTTAGAAATTTAAAAGACTCATATGGGGTTTCAGGTTGAACAATCAATGTTGGTGATATACTATTTTGGGAGACTTCATTTGAAAAAAAATTATGAAACTCAGTGGACAAATCTTTATTTTGTTACCCCTAGAGATGAGGTGAAAAAAAAAATATATTATAATTCAAAAAAAGTGACTTCATGGTAACAAACATTTTTTTAGAATTTGTATTAAATTATTTATACCCATTTTGGTTAGAAGCGTAACCGACACATTTTTTTGCTTGAGGTTCAAGTTTTCCTTGATCATAAAGGAGAAGGAAAAGCTACACACCCAAACATCTTTAGAGATAAAGAAGATGAAAGCCAATTCTTTTGGAAAAAAATTTAAAAAATACTAAAAGGTATTTCAATTTTTAAAATCTTATTGGATGTTCTATTTATGAAAAATCTAGCAGTAAAAAGAACTTCACCAAAACGATATTTAGGCTCCTGATTGATAAATAATAATGCCAAAGTAACATCTAATAAGTGCTTATTTTTTCTTTTAACGTCATTTTGTTGCAAAGTGTTTACTTAAAAACTTCGATAAATTATTCCTTTTTTGAGAAAATTGACCCAAAATATTTTTGAAATACTCTCGACTATTTCAATCAATAAAAGTTGCATGATTTTCTGAATTATGTATAGCATAGTATATAAAGTTTTTAAAATAACTTCTAATTCATATTTTTCTTTCATTAAATAAACTCAATTTAACCTAGTGTGATTATGAGTGAAAGTCAAATCATTTTTTTCCAGGGATGTGTAATATTTTCACAAGAACCCCAGATATCGTTGTTAATCAGAGTAAACTATGTTGTTTATTTGTATACTTATAGAGAAAATGATAAACGAAGATATTTAGCAAACTGATAAAATTCACATTAAAACAAAGACAGATTTATATTCTCAAAAAATTTAGGAAACAAGTATTTTAGATATTAAAAATTAGAACGACCTTAACATATTATGCCATAACATAATTTTATTGCCTTTAAAAACAGAATTTAAACCAATAATTTGATATTGTTTATTTGAGTCAAGTGTATCGTCAAAATAATAGAGTTCAATTTTTTTCTTAGCATTGTCAATTATCTTCCCCATGATCAATTCCTGAATCTCACAACAAGAAGAAATAAAGTTAGGTTGGCATTGATTATCAGCAGTAATTTTACAAATGAACAACAAACTATACAATAGATTAGGAACATGGAGAACATCGCGAAGGGTTAACCGAGTGGGAATAATCGACAATTTTGACATTTTTATTGCCTACATATAGTATATAGGAGAAAAATAATTTAAAACAACCACTCATGTGATTAATTGCACAAGAATCATTTATTCACTAATAAGAGAAATTAGAAATAACTCCTAACAGATAAGTGGTCAAAGAGTTACTCTTCTGTAGTAAGGAGCAAGACGAAATTAGGGACAATTTCGGAGATTGAAATAAATTGTGCAAGCGCCACAATTGCCCTTCAATAAAAGGGGCTGCATTTGAGTTAGCAAGCAGTTCCTGGGTGTCTTCAGTAGTGGTTTGATAAGCTCGAACTTCACGCTTAAATTTTGATTTCCAATTTCTAAGTTTACAATAAAACTTCCAACATGTCTCATTTGTGTGTCATGATTTTTGAAATATTCACACCATAATTTTGTCATTTTTGTTAAACCAATTAATGTTCATCTCTTCTTATGGCAAGTATAATCATTTGAATTCTCTCAAATAACATCATAACATTAATCAAGCTCCTGCCATAAAGTGTTACCATATGTAGTAACATCACAATCATTTTGTTTAGATTTTCAAAGTTAAGTATTCAATTCAAAAGTTAGTGAAAAATTTTTCAAGTCAGACTAGAGATCTCAAACAGCCTCCCAGATATCTTGTGCAGCGCAAAAAAATAGATGAGGCTTTTCTATAATATATTCTAAGGAGTTAATGAGTCATGTCATCATCAGAGAATTTTCGAATTGTCATTTTTTCATATTTTGACCGCTAGCAATAGGTTTTAAAATTTCTACGGTTAAATACTCAATTTTGTCTCCCGTTGATTGTCAATTTTATGTATTGAGCCAACTCGAGGTAGTTGCATCCATTAAGTTTTATAACTATAAGGTAAGGTGGTAAATTCTGAGAAAAATATTCAACCAACACACCCATTACATGAGCTATGGGGTGAGGTGAGATGGTTTTGAAATTACTGGAATTGTGTCGATCTAATAGAATTTCTTTGAATTTCGAACATTATTGCTTGAGAAAAGTAGGGCAGTATCAATGACCCACCTCCAGTGTCTACAGTTACAAATTCGAACAAATAGATCATTGGTTCAGAAAAAAGTCACCATGCGACGATGCCATAGAAAATAGCAGGGAAAGGAGCGATCGAATTTAGAGCTTCCCACAAACGACGCAAGGAAAACTTTGAAGATCGTGGGAGGAAACTCCACTGGAGGAAGATCTCACGAGGAAACCTCGACGGAGGAAGGTCGCACCAAAGGTCGCGCCAGCAGATTGTCACGTTCCTCAATGCTTTTGGGTAAAAGCGGAGTGAAGCGAAGCCACTCTCAACAAGTCTCATGGATTACCCAGTCAACGGAATTCGATTGCAATTTCAAAGGCGATAACCAACTCTGATACCATGTAGGTCTTGGAGGGGAAAAAGAATTATTTCACCTCATTTTCATAGAAATGATTGCATGATAAATAAAGGGAGATGCCTCCCACATTAGAAGACTAATAACATCGGCTATAATTCACAAAATAAAAGAAGGAAATATGAATTAAGACATACCAATAATTCTAACTTTTATAAATAGAAAAAACCAATAATAGAATATAAAAAAAATTAAACCTTCCTCAAAATCCAGCAATACCATTACAGAAACTAATAGAATAATTACTACAATTTAACATTGCCTGCAAGAAGGGGCTTAACTTTCAAATATCTAGGAGTTTCATAATTAATGGATCAAAATTAGCAACCAGAACTATCATCTCCACAAAAAAGTAAAGGAAATATTTAAAGTGAAGATATAATACAATACCTTCTGTGGGTCCAAAGAGAAGATTGACATCTTCAAGACCTGATTCAGCAGAAAAAAATTATTAATAACCCTCAAAGTTCATAAGTTCTACAGATGAAGTTTCAACGAAAAAAACATATACAAATCATTGGCATTAAAACCAGCCTTCTGGAAGGGAGATTTTGATCAATAAAATGCTGTGGAGAGATTGAATGGATGAATGACGCAAGCAACAAGCTGAAACGACTAAGTTTCCACTTCCAATTTCTTTACTCGTTACATTTCTCAACCATTAAGCAGTACTAAACAATCAACAAATTTCCTTCCATCCTGACACTAAAAGGTCCCATTACAACCACAATTAAGATGCCTAACACTATATGATGTTCGAATTGTCTATAATAAGTCGGATAGGAATATTTCTTTCTTTTAAAAATTAAAGAGTTTTCCACAATAGATACACCGAGCCAGCTTAAGAATAAATGGAATCTCATTGCACAATGGCATCCTAACTTCTTTTTGTGCCCCATCAAAGAGTGTTCTGCTTATTACCATTTGCTTTGAATAATAAATAAAAATGCACAGAGCCAACTAAAAAAATGGACTCTCAAGCAAGATCTAAAACTACAACATATCAAGCATGAAGAAGCATTAGTTCGGTGCTTGAAAGTACATCAATCAGTAAATTAACCCATGATTACAATTGGACAAGAATAAAAGTCGAGTTCTTTCACTCTCTCAGTTCTTGATTCTTTCCACTCTATCATGAAACCAACTCACTGCACTCCCCTCTTTACCCACTAAAAATGATATACAGATTGAAATTCTTCAACTTTATTTATTTTCATAACCATTAGAAACCATGAACATGCTTCTCAGCATTTTTACATAATCTCCAATCATAAGAACATTAACAAATTCATGGCGATACAATTTATAATTCCCCTAACATTTGTAATCTTTGCCAAGTATATTCATGCGAGCTGCTTTCCCCAATTTTTGAGGCATCAAAGCTAGTGATTGTGGCTGCGCTTTAGATTTGAACAGCCAATCAATAGTCCATCAATTGTTTAGTATCCATGTATATCCTTTAAAAGCTTTATATAAAGCTTCTTAAAGTCTAATTATGGTGTTCTCCATCAGTTTCTTGATCTAACCAATTGTTCAAGGATATCATCGGTAAGGTATCAAATTGCCCATTTTCTCTTATTTAATTAACACACTTTGTTTTTTTCTTTTTTTTTTCCTTTTATGGGAGAGAGAAGAAACCTTATTCATGTAGTACCAGATAGACTAAGTGCCCCGGTGACTCTTGGTAGTGCTATGCAATCAAACTAAGGTCAAATGTTTGTTGCTTGTTTAAGCCACTTTTTTTTGTCAAGGTCAATCATCCTTTTTTTATGATTTTTATAACATGGAGTTTCCATAGTTTTTCATTTGTTGACGAACTTCGCTGAGGAAACATGATTAATGTTAACGATATTGCTTTCCATGTAGTAAACTTGATAAGTTTGTCAATACTATAAAATCTAATTGGTACATCCAATGTTAAGCAGATCATACACTATTCATAAAGCAAGCACAGTGAGGAAAGAAAGTTATACCATTATCTATTTAAATGATACGATCCCGATAGACGATGATAAAAAAGAGATTGGGAAAAAATTAAGGAGGTTCTTACCACTAAATTTAAAATCAAGAATCTAGGAGTTATGAGGCACTTTCTGGCATGCAAGTGGCTATGTCCAATAAGAAATTTATTATATCCCAAAGAAAGTACATCCTAGACCCATTATAAGATACAGGAATGTTGGGGCATAAATCAATTGAGATTCCTATGGATTTAACAAAAAGTTACATTCAAGGAGAAAAAAGCCTAGTGTAAAAAGGTATGTAGGTTTTGAGAATTGAGCAGGTTAATACATTGCTATTGAAATGGGTATAAATATAGGATAAAATGATTCCAAAATAGAAAAAATATAATACCCAAATCTCTCCCTAATAACTACTCCATGATAAAAGAAAAGTATTAAACTAGGAAATACAAGAAATAGGAAATAACTAAAAAGAAAACTAAATAAATTTGCAACACTCCCCTCAAGTTGAAGCATAGATGTCAATCATATTCAACTTGGATTTAAAATTATTAAATAATGGTCAAGGAATATTGTTTGTAAAAATATATAAGAGTTGTTCTGTGGATAGGACAAAAGGAACATAAATTTCTCCTGAATTAAGCTTCGCCTTGATAAAGTGACAGTCGATCTCCACATGCTTAGTACGATCATGTTAGACCAGATTATGGGCAATATTGATGGTGATTTTATTGTCACAAAAAAAACTGCAAAGGAATGGAGACCGGCATACCTAACTCGTGGAGCATGATGCTCAACCAGAGGGCTTCACATACCAAGAACAAAACTCGGCTTCAGCACTGCTAAGGGCAGCCACGGACTGTTTTTTACTTTTCCACGCGTCAAGGTTTTCCCATATGAAGAAGCAATAACCCAAGGTAGATCATTGATCATGGACGAACCCGCCCCAATTGGCATCCGTATAAACTGCAATCGAGCGTGAGATGTGATGAGAAAACAACAAACCTGAGCTCGGTGAGTCTTTTAAGTAGTGGAGGATTAGATGGGCAGCGATAAGATGGTGCTCATAAGGATCATGCATGATCTGACTGACTATACAAATAGCATGACAAGTGTTCAGGTGCGTATGAGCTAAGTAAATGAGTTTCCCCACTAGGCATTGGCAGTGCATCTTGTTCACTGGAACGGCATAAGGAATGTTTGTCAATTTCTCATTGGGATCAATCGAAACAACTACTGATTTGCCAAAAAGAAGCTTTGTCTCGGTTAGTAAATATGTCAGAGATTTTGCACTAAGAAAGACTAATGTCCTGAGAGGGCCGAACTATTTGCATGCCTACGAAATACCGAAGAGAACTCAAGTCCTTTATCTCAAAAGATGCGGCCAGGATGTCTTTGAGAGATTCCAAGAACAGTTGATCATTACCTGTGAGTAAGATATCGGCGACATAGACGATGAAGATGGCAATACAGTGATTGAATGAGTGGCAAAAGAACATCGTGTGATCAAATTAGACCTGACAGAAACCAAGGCCCACAACAACTTTTGCAAACTTGCCAAACTAGGCCCAGGGGAATTGTTTCAATCCATAAATAGACTTCCACAGTCGACACACTTATCCACAGGAAGAGGTTAAATCAAAGGCTGGTAAGAGAGACATATACACCTCCTTTGCAAGATCGTCGTTAAGAAAAGCATTCTTGACATCCAGCTAAGGTGCGGGCCAATCAAGATTCACTGCAAGGCATAACAAAACCCGAATGGCATTTAGTATAGCTACAAGAACAATTGTCTATTCATAATCAATTCCATATATTTGTTAATAGCCTTAGGGGACCAACCGCGTCTTGTTGCATTCAAAGAAATCCATCGGAGTTAAATTTGATGCCGAAAAACCTACATGCAACTCACTACTTTCTTTCCTCAAGGAAGATCAACAGCATCTCAAGTATGGTTGTGCCAAAGGGCATTCATCTCATCCATGACTACAGCCTTCCAGTACGAGTCAGCCAATATTGCCTCAATAGCGGATAGGAGACAATGATCCATCAAAGAAGTGGCAAATGCTTTGTAAGTCGGAGATAAACTGTGGAATGAAATGTATTTTACTATGGGATAAAGAGTGCATAATTGTTTAAGTACCTCAATGGGGAAATTCAACTCCTCATTCAGAACAAGAGTGATCCCCATAGGTTGAGATAGCATCGTTCAGGGGATGTCGGTCGTAGCAGATTCTAAGACCTGAAGCGGAGCAGCGAGGCAGCGGGCTCGAGTGTAGGGGCATTGGGATGAGTCTCAACCGAGGGTTTGGTATACTGAGTATAGACACGGAGAGTGGATAAAGGTTATGTTGGTCTGGTTGGTGGCAGAACAAGTGAGACTGAAGGTTCCTCAAATATAATGGTTGTAGGAGTAGGTAGAAATCTACAACAAATATAATGGTTGTAGGAGTAGGGTTGGAAAAGAAACAGTGTCCAGAAAATCTAGCTCCCCCTAGCTTCAGTGTTAGGGAAATAAGGGGCATTGACATCGGAACTCACGTAGATTTTACTGTTGGTAGAATCAAAACACTTAGAGCCTTTTTGAGTGGTTGAATAGCTGAGGAAAATGCATAATTGAGTGGAAATCAAGTTTATTCTAAGTCAAGGTTGTGTACCTAACAAAGGTCGTGCACCCACAAACATTTTGGGATCTAATATGGAGAAGAACCGATCGGTAGGAATACACGACATGAATACGAATAAAGGGGTCCGATAAGTGGCGGTAAGGACAACGTCATTCCAATAACATTTAAGGTCATTAGTTTGGAACATAATTGAACGAGCCACTTCAAAAAGGTTTCGGTTTTTTCGCTCAGCTATCTCATTTTGTTGAGAGGTATTCACACATGAGCTATGATAAAGGATGTCTTTACTCACCAAGAATTCTTTCGATATAGAGTTAAAGTACTCGCGATCATTGTTGGTCCAAAGAACTTGAATAGAGGTTTTGGATATTGTCAAAATAAAGAAGTGGAATTTTTTAAAGATCACTATAGCTTAAGAATTGTCCTTTAATACCTAATTCCAAGTCATCCAAGTGTGAACATTAATTAGAGTAAGAAGCCATCGTTTATTGGTATAGCTTGCAGTTCGAGAAGATTCCATAAATAACTATAAACAGTGAAAATGGAGAGGAAGAAGTGTAACCGTGGGTGGATATGGTACACGATGATATTTAGCTGAATGACAAATTTCAAAGTATATGATTTTTTATCAATAAATGTCAGAGAATACAATTGTTTTAAATAATGAAAACTAGGATGACACAAGCGATATTGTAAAAGCATAATTGGACAAGCAGTAGACAGGTAAAAACTACAACTATGAGATTCAGTGTCCACGTCAACAATGTCATTTTCTTGAAACAAATAGAGTCCAGTTCCAATCATCCTCCCCAAAAGACAATCCTTAAGGGCACAGACATGGGGAGAAAATTAAGGAACGCAATCAAGGTCATATGTCAACTTACTGACCGATAAAAGGTTACAAGTAAGCAAAGGTACGTGTGCCACGGATTTCAGAGTCAGCCTGGCTGTTAGTTCTACTAAAATTTTACCAGGAATAGAATTACATGAGTCATCTGCAATTTTAATAGTGTCTCGTCCGGAGCACGGAGCATATGTCGAGAAGAATTAAGAGCATCTGGTCATGTGGTTTGTGACACCTAAATCAATAATCCACTAACTAGAAGTAAAACGAATGATTTTCATAGAAATGTTACATTGACGAACATCGAAGGTTGGCGGGCCAGAGAAAAATTGAATAGATCCAAGCTGTTTAATTAAGTGTTTCATCTGACTCTTGATGGAATCTGATGATTCGGCGGGGATGGTTCGAGAGGGGGGCGGCTAAACTGTTGTGGATTTTGAGGTTGTAGTGAGACCTTTAACAAGGGAAGATTTGATTGATGATTTATTTGTCGGCTTCCAGTGGAGCTTCCAACACTTGCCACAGGTATGATAGGTTTGTAACAAAAATCACACGTGGGGTGTAGAGCACCATGATTGGTGCACGACAGCGTGGCAGAGTGTGGAGCACTATTGGAGACCAAGGCTGAAGACTCGCTTGAATTAGTGGAGTTGCCGAGCATAGCAAGTCTTCGGCTTTCTTGGAGGATCTCGGTGAGTATACGGCTGCAGACTTCATCGAGATCCTTGTTTAGGCCGGCCAGAAATTGGAACACATAATTATTTTCCAAAATTTTTTTGAAGAGGGAAGGATCCGTGGGACAGTCCAACGTGTAAGCATAGTATATGTTACATTTCATCCATAAGGCAATCAAGTCTTTGTAGTACTGTGTCGTTGTCTTTGATCATTGTTTCGCCTCATGAATCTTATTAGAAACTTCATAGAGTTGTCAAAAATTTCTTACGTCCGAGTAGATATCTCGAACAGCAGTCCAAAGAGCACTAGCAAACGGAATAAATAGGTATGAACAGTCAATCGAGGTTTCCATGGAATTCATCAGATGTGACATAACCATTGAATTCTCCACTTCACAAGCTGCACATGGTGGGTCAGTCTTTAGAGGTTCACGAATCGTACCTGTGAGAAGGCCGAAGTTACTCTGACCTTTGACGAACAGTGAAAGAGCTTGAGACCTTCGGAGGACATTTGAGTTGTCGATTTTGTGAGTGATAATCAGAAAATTCATGGGATTGTCATGTCCTCCGGTCTGCGGAGAGGATGAGGTAAGTGTCAATCCTCTGGTGGACTCAAAGACAACACAGATGAAAGCTCGGTAGTGAAGGAATCCGCCATGACTCTGATGGAGCCAAAACTAAGGTTTGGGTGTCGATACATAAACGTGGACAGTTCCTTATGCAGTTGACAACAAAATAAGGCCTGTGAGAGGAGATTGCAGTAGCCAGGAGGGAGTTCCGGTAGTAAGAGGGCATGCAAGGGAAAGATCTAGCTGCATGAGGGAGTTTTGACGATCCTGGAAAGAGATCTAGCCAGCATGAGGAAGGTCAAATGGTGGTACAGCCAGTAGAGGATCAACCAGCGGCGGAAGAGCTTGTAGAAAAGGATGTTTGTGGCTGAAACCTATAGAGGAGGGACCATAGGGACGAAATCTGGCTGCTGAAAAAACTGCAAGGGAAAGCCTGCAGGGAAGTTCAGGCAGCTAGGGTAAGATCTGTGGCTCTAATACCATATAGGCTATAGGAATTGAGTAGATAAATTTTATTGTTATTGAAAAGGATATAAATACAAGATATAATGATTCTAAAATAAGAAAAAATATGTAATACAAATCTCTCTCTAATAACTATTTCATGATAAAAAAAAAAGTCATAAATTAGGAAATACAACAATTAGGAAATAACCAAAACTGGTACTAAATAATTTCTAACAAGGTAGATTTCATAAATTGATGGGAAAATTTATCTATCTGTCACACACTAGACTTGATATCATTTATTATGTCAGAATTGTGAGTTAACATATGAATAGTCCAAAGAAAAAACATTTGGAAGTGATTTATAGATATTAAGGTATCTTAAAAAGACCTCTGAAAGAGAGTTATTGTTTTAAAAAAATTAGACAACAGGGAAGCAAAAGTTTACATTGATGTTAGTTGGGCAAGAAAACTCACAGACAAAACATCCACATCTAGGTATTGTTCTCATGTATGACGAAATCTTGTCACATGGATGAGTCACGAAGTAAGTAGTGATCTCTAGAACTAGTCCAAAATCTGAATACCGAACACTTGGGGAATTTGTGAAAGAATGTGGATCCAAAGGTTACTAAATAAGTTGAAAAGCTCTGCAATCAATCTCATAAAGATGTTTTTTGACAGCCAAGTTGTTATTAGTACTGCAAAGAACCTTATGCATCATGACATGGCCAAACACATTGAGATTGATACACACTTTATCTCTGAAAAAATTAATGGTGGCATTATTCACTTAATCTACATGTTAACTCATCTTCAAATCCTTGATGTCTTCACTAAATCCCTACCTTCAGGCAGCTTCACTAACTTAAATACCAGGAGTTTAGAATTATATCCTATTAGGTGGGCCATACAACTTGTCATATGGGCCCACAGGTAATTTGTGGTAATGGAGGGAGTTTTTTATTTTAACAATATTCTTTTTTTTTTCTTTCTTATTATGTTGTATGTCTTTCATTCATTGTTTATTTTGTATTTGATAAGTTGTAATAGTCTTAATTATGTTTCTCTAAGTCGTCCCCCATATAATAAGGGAGAAGCTTGCAATTTCAATAAGAGGGAAAAAGAAAATATAGTTTCTCCACATTTCTTCACTTTCCAGCAAGTAGGGGTGTTTGGTATGCTCCTATTAATAGAATTTACGTAATTTTTTAACGAAAATCCAGCTAAATGTCATATTTGGGTTCGATAAATCTAACGTCATATTAAATCCATTTTTTTGTCCCGTTTATTTCGTGACTTAAATCCGGATTCATTAATATCCAAATATTAGTTAGATTTAATGAATTTAGCTTATGAATAAAATACTTCACAAAGATTTATACCAAACATATCAAATGGATTTAACTGGAATTAATCTTAAATGAACCAAACATTATTTCTAATTTAACAATATTTGGATATGATAAATCTGGAATTACCGGATTTACTAAATCTTATTTACCATAAATTCTACTTGTAGCCAAACACCCTCGTAGAGACTCGTGCTAGCTCAATAGAAGACAACTACAGGTCGTTCAGATACTCCACATCAAAGAAAATTACGCTCTCCAGGTCAAAAGTTTTGAACTTGAATGACCACTTTATAGGAAACAATGTGTCAGGACAAGCCCGCAAAAGTAAGATCGTGAAAGGACGAACCACAATATTTGCACGAAAAATTTGCAGGTTCGGTAATAGTTTCAGCCTCCCCTTGCCATACTCTGTACAACTTAAGGTGTATCAAAATTCAATATGCCATTTGTCAATATGAAAAGCAAGGAATGGATGGAGATTTAGACATTACAAATTCCTCCATCATCCAGCATTGAGAAATGAAAACGCATGAGTCTCATGTAATGCATGCCATACTCTGTACAACTTAAGGTGTATCAAAATTCAATATGCCATTTGTCAATATGAAAAGCAAGGAATGGATGGAGATTTAGACATTACAAATTCCTCCATCATCCAGCATTGAGAAATGAAAACGCATGAGTCTCATGTAATGCATCTACTGCCACCGCTCAAATAGATCAACCTATCGTGGCTAGACCACAAATTCACATCCACCGATAGCAACTGATTAATCACTAAGTGAAAGCACCCCATTGAGCATAAAAGCAACAAAGCTCATGTGCTGCTCCCTTGAAAAAAAAAAAAAAAGATGCAAGATGCTGCCATCTAATCTTAGACCTAGGGCAGATAGTGTTATCTCTTACCCATATGTGCACAAAGTAATTCCCAGGTCCTAATTGTAATCCAAGTACGACAGCGCCGAAGTCACCCAACTCCAGCCTTGTTAATGTCAGATAACGTTGCATACCTTTTTCCGCGAACTGCAAGAAGGAGTCAACCCTCTTCAACGAAACGCAACCCTTGCAAGCTAAATTCTTATGACCACGCTCCTTAAGCAACTCCTCAAGCTCCTTAAAACATGCCGTTTTCGCTAACCCCCCGCCACCGCCCCCTCCTGTTCCTCCACTGACTCTACTATGGTGCTTCGCCTTCTTGTACTCCTTCAGTAAGTTCCTCCACTTATCAGTACACATGGTTGGGGACCGCTCGAAGCCTTTCTCCCTCATCTTCGCAGAGATCTGCTCCCATAAGTGTTTGTTGGACTTCGAAGTGTTAAAGAGACGATCCATCTCGCGGCGTAGGGCGATGAGACAAAGGGTTTCTTCCTGGACCCAGGTCTCAGCACGCTTCTTGGGATTAGGGCCATGGGTTCTAGCCTCATGGTCGTCACCGCAGCTGCTCTCGCTCATGGTCATTCTCTTCCTTGGCTCGTCGAGTTGATCCTCTTCTCCCCTTCGCTGGAAAGGAAAATCCCCGCAGGCGAGAAGCTGCTCTAGAGTGAGGGAAAAGGACATCTCAGAGAAGTAATACCCATAAGAGAAGCGAAGCCCTTCTGTTTGATTTGTTTGGATGGTTATTTGAGGGGGTTATTTGAGGGGAAAATTTTTAGAGATGTTAATTTCAGTCAGCGGGTTGGATATGGATTTACTTTGAAAATGATAATCTGAACTCAACACGGATAATAAATGGATCCAAAATTAAGATTGGAATCTAAACTTGCCCGCTAACCCGAACCCAAGTCAAAATTTTATGTTTATTGGGTTATGTTATGAATTTCAGGTTCAACTTAAACTCAAACTTGACTCGAATAATAACGGGTAGAATTCTCTAACCCAAATTTGACTCAAAAAATTTTGGGTCAAACTTAACCCGGATTTTTCAAGTCGGGTGGCACGTTGGGTCAATTTTTGGAGAAAATTTTTCATACATAATATGTACGCAAATCTGCGTGCGGAGTTCCAATAATATGTCGGCATGCCGCCACATGGAGGTTATTGTGGGGTTATTAACGTGAAATCACGGAGGTTATTGCGGGTTAATGCATGGGGTTATTGAAATGAAACCGTAGAGATTATTTGGGGATTTTTGGAGCGAAACCACAGAAGTTATTGAAAGTTATTTGGGAGTTGTTGTGGCGCCATTGGAGTTAATGCCACAATAATGCTCTAATAACCTCCAATAACCTCTTAATAACCCCCAATAACCCTACCAAAAAATAAATGTGATTCCACTCCAATAATTTTCGCGGTTTCACTTTAATTTTTTTATAGGTGGTCCGACATAGCACACATGACAACATATTACTGGAGTACACACATAGAGCTATGTATGTACTCCGTATGGAAAAATTTCTCCAATTTTTGACACCCTAGGAAATTTTGGGGCGTCTGTATTTGTGTAGTGGCGCCGAGTACAATTGAAGAGTCTCCCTTCAGCTTGCGTTTACTATTTGTGCTCATGTTGAACTCAAGTAAGTCGAGATGTTGGTGTAATTGTATTTCATTTTTTTTTAACAAGGAAGATTTACATACATTCCACTCAATCTGCTTTTACCAAAAACCAATGAGAAAGGAAACACTCCGATTTCTCCCTTCCTCCCACCCGCTTACGTGCGCATCAGCTTCTTTAAATTCTGCTAAACCATCTTCGAATGGAATTTGCTAAATCCTTAATTTAAGGCGAACAGAAAGAGAAACATGATTTAAGAACCCGCGGGATGTTAAGATGTCATTTTTACAGTTATTAGGTTAGGTGTTACGCATGTAATGCCCCCAAAAAATTTACTTCATAAATTAGAATCCCCCCATCCAAATAACTTACAAAATAAAATATTATTTTAAAAATGTTAGTTCAAGTCAATTAGGTTCATAATTTTTCACTTCTAAAAAAATATTATAATAATAATTTGATGACAAGATAATAATAATACAAATAATAATAATAAAAATAATAATAATCATATTGATTAAGTTACACCTAATGAATAAATAAGTTTAATTGCATAATCATTTATATTTTTTTTCTAAATGATGTAGGATCTCTAGTTGAATCATTGTATTATCAGAAAGCGTCGAGTTTTGTTGCCTCGAGATAAATAACTATTTTTTTATTAAAAGATCCTTCCTAGTTAGTAACGTTAATCCTTATTATTTGTTGTAGACTCATAGCTACTTTGAAAGATTGTCAGTCAAATCTTGCTATGCTACTTATGCCTTTTCACTTTTTTTACTTCAATTATTACTCTTGATGGAAGCAATAATTGTGCTAATTTATTACTGTAAATTTTCTTCATATTGAGTAACCTTGTAATCATTTTAACTTTCTTTTTTATGAATCGCATTTGGATTTGTGTCATATCACAAGCCCGTGTG